AAAAGACAAGACAATTGAAAAGAATGTTAATGTTTCTTTTATGTTCAATTGAAGCGTGACAATGATTTAATTAACTCCATAATTGAAATCTGTTTAGACGTAACATTAAATTGCTTAAAACAGCTAGAAACAAATAAACATATTAAAATTGTTAGAAATTAGACTTATTCTTTTATTTTGTTAAGAGTGACAGGAAAGATGAAAAAAATTAGTGTGAAGCCCTGTTTACCATCATACTTACTATTTACGCAAATCATATAACTTGAAGAATTTATAAAAAAAAATAGTAAAAAAGAGAAAGAGTAAAATATAACTCCTATTGAAATATGTCTTTAAGTATACACCTGGTCTGGAATTAAAAAGTTGGATCGATGATTAAAAAATATATTTTCCAAAAATTTCGAATCGGGTGGAGACGTTAGCTTGTCCGAAATAATTGATTTTGTGACTAGTTACGTTGATTCCAGAAGCGCGAGGTCATTCCATTGGCCTATTTGACTTTTGAAATTTCAATTGTAGACGGAATTATTTAATATCCTAGAAAATTTCTTTCAGAGCAGCAGTCAATAAATAAATAAATAAATGAAACAAATTGAAATGAAATAAAAAAAATAAATAAATAAAAAAAAAAGAACGGCTTTTAATTTTTTAAAAAGTTTTGATGAATGAATCGATCATTATGTTTTTTTAAATCTATGAGCCATAACCATTATCCAACGTAAAACTAATTTTAGTATTGCGTTAAGTATTTTAATTTAATACTAGTGGGCTGCTCCCCTTGCTCGCTAAGTCTCGCCAACCCCCGAAAATTGCTACGCAATCTTATATGGTTTTCTTCGCAAACCAAGCTCGCCTCGCTCGCTACTAACTTAGGTACATTGCAAATGCACAAAATTCTAGGAATTCAAAACAATCATTCATGTCCATATAACAACTTTTTTTAAAAAAGAAATTGCATCTTTTTAGTAAATACTAAGTCATTAAAATAAATATGAATTCAAATAAAGGACATCTAATTCGTTAAGAAATGTGCTATAGTATAAAATCTTAAGATAAAATTTCTAAAACTGATATCTCTATAAAAAGGTTAAAAGTTTGGCTATAATTAAGTCTATTAAAAATTGAATAAGTGAATTGCAATGGAAAAACCTGAATAAACATGGAAATTCTAGTAGAACAAATAAATTCGTGATATAAAACGTAAATCGTGAAATAAATTCGTAATATATAAATTCGTGAAAAAAAGCGCTTTCGACAAAATACTAAAACAGAGATCTTTCGACAAAGACTATTCACTTCTGCCTAGCTTATGCTCTCTCTGGTTATGTCAATTTTCGTTTTTAAAAGCGCTACATGTTGAGCGATCTCAGCTAGATTTGGCATGTGACATTTTTAGCGGCAATCATTGGTCGATTTTCCAGCGTTGCCATTCGGGGAGTTGTAATGTGGCTTTTTTCGTCGCCGTGTAAGAGAAATATATATATAGATACTGTGTCACTAAATGAATAATTCCCAGTAACTGAAGAAGGAAGATAAAAATATCATTATCTTCAAAAAATATGAAAATAAAAGTCAACATGTCTTGAATGCTCCAAAATTCCCGTCACGAATCATTAACGCCTAGCGAGCCCTGATATTGACAACGCTTAAAGAAAATGCTTGGCACGCTCAAAAATAGGTAACAATTTGTAAGACTCGGTAAACGTAAATGAGGATTATAAAGTGATATGAAATAAAATATGTATGGTTGCCAACGAAAAATGAAAAAGAAAAAAACTAGTGAAACTGTGTTAGCTGAGAGTGAAACAGAGAATGAATTCATTGCCAGAGCAACCTTAGCTATATTATATAAACCAGACGGGCTTAAAAATTTTGTAGACTAAGAGAACGCGGTAGATAAGTCCCTTTTCAAAAATGTGATAAATCTATTCCTGCACATTATTGCATCACGGAGATAAATTTAATCTCGATAATGCGAAAATTCTAAACCCCCCCCCCTGCCGTATCATCTCATCTTGATACCCGGGAAACTTTTTTTATTCTCATAAATGCCGATTTCCTTGTTAATGATATTAGTTTTGCATCAGCTCTCCATGGCACGTTAAAAAGCATTTTGCCCTGATTTGCCTTTCCCGGCTACAACATTTGTTTGGATTTGTTTTTATTTAATTTTTTATTTTCTATTTCATTCTAGAGGTACTGCGGTTTTTCCAGCTTTATTTTCCACTTTCTCGTTGGCAACTTTACATTTCTATTTCATATTAAGAACTTTTTTTTCTTTATTATAACATCATGCGAATCTTAAGAATGGGTATTTATTTTCTTCATATTTTTTGAAGACAATGAAGTTCTCACCATGAAATTTAATATGTTACACTTGAATCATTCTTGATCTTTAAATTGATTAGAATCTTATGCTGAAAGAAGCAAACATCTGAAAATTATTATTCCAACAGAGTTCCTGCTGTCCTTAAAACACTAAAAGAATAGTGACACCTACATTGAAATAAAGAAGTTTCTTTAAATTTAAAAACAAAATTTCAAAACTTAAAGATTTTGTAACCAGATGTTTGAAGTTATATATGTTGAAATTGATCATTAAATGCTGCGAATATGAAGGTAATAAAATACATTTATCTTCTTAGTTTTTCTGCCATTATTACAGTTTTTAAGAATCTTACGAATTCTGATTAAAGAAGACTATCGTATCAGATGTAGGTATGTAATGATGATAATAATTGTGAAATCAGTTATAGCAATATTTGGTGCTCGTAACTGTTGAACGTCTTGAGAGATATTTTATGGTGAATTTATGAAAATCCGTTTCATAATATATAAAAACATCTGGATGATATTTGCAAATTATCTTTATCTAAAGAAAGCTACGTAAGTCATATATTTGTTAGAATGAAACGATTTCTTTAAAAATGAATTATACACTATTCTTAAACATATATATTTCAATCTTTTTAAAATGCCACTTAGCATTCATTAATTTTTAATTATAAATTTATATAAAAAGAAATATTGTGAATTATATAAAAACCTTGTGAATGTGCATTATAATCTCTTCCAGATATTTCACATTTTTTTAAGGGATATATTTTCGTTATTTGCTCTACTCTGCATGTAGTTAAAATACGGCAAATTAGGTAATGGTACAAAATCTTCACATTTGAAGAAGTTAAAAATAACATAACAATCTACATAATGCTTTATAAAAAGTTCATGTGTTGAAAAAGTAAAATCTGGAGAAATCATAAATAATTTATCAATCGATTCAAAATTTATTTTTTAAAAAGTGTAAAACAAAAGCAGTCTTTGCTTTTTAAGCAGAAATCAGCTAAAAACAAATCTGTTGTTTGGAAATTCCAAGATATTTTTCAATTAAATATTTAAAAAAGAAAAAAAAAAGCCCTTCCGATTCAGCACAAAAACAAAGAACGGTTTCAGTTTTCATCTCATTCATTTTTGTTCTCTCAACTAGTTGCTTAGCAACGGGGTATTTCTCTCCTGTCGAATTCCGCAGTTAGAGTATGGTTAGATTAAATTTCTCTCCCAATTATGGCGATATTTTCTGGCCTTTTGTGGGAGCGATGGCTAGTATATATAACTTCCCAGCATCCCAATTTATAATCCACTTTTTCCAAAATTTAGCCTACCTTCCTATTTTGAGGGTCATTGATCCAAAAATGCAAACAAAAAATGTTTATTCAGAAAAAATGCGTTTTTGTGTCTGATTTTTAAATTCAATTAATAGTTAGCACTAATTAATTAGCATGTTTGAAGTCACCCCCAGAAATCATTATGATTGCACTTAGTATGTGAAAATCCGATCATTAGAACGAAAGTTATTCAAGGTTATATATACACTCTATAACAAAAAAATCGACGCACCAAGAAAGAGTTGTCCGATTGAAACGAAAATTGGTGGATATGAAGACAATGTACAGAATAGTAAATGATTAGAATTTCAGAACAATTGAATAATTTATTGCAGAGTTACAGTAACAAGTTCAATAAGGTGTTGACCCGCCTCTAGCCTGAATACAAGCTGCCACACGGCGTGGCATAGATCGATAAAGCTCCCGGATGGTCCCTTGCGGTATTTCCTGCCAAATTCGATCCAATTGTCGAACGAGGTCATCAACATTCTGTGCCAGATGCCATCGCCTTCCCATCATATCGCAGACATGCTTGATGGGAGAGAGATCTGGTGATCTGGCAGGCCAAGGAAGAGTTTGACAAGCTTGCAGACAGTTCATAGCAACACGTGCCGCACGTGGTCTGGCATTGTCCTGCTTAAAAACCAGCCCAAGGCGCTGCAAAAGGAACGATAGCAAAACAGGTCTTAGGATGTCGTCGACGTACCGCTGTGCAGTAAGTGAACCTCTAATGACGACCAAAGGAGTCCGGCTGTCAAAGGAAACGGCACCCCAGACCATAATGCCTTGTTGAGGGCCGGTGTGGCGTGCAATAGTGAAGGCAGGATACCCCCTTTGCCCTGTGCGTCTCCAAACACGTCTTCGATGATTGTCAGGACGCAGTTGGAAGCGGGATTCGTCGCTAAAGACTACACGTCCCCAGTCGGCATCATTCCTGCCATATCTGTTCAAAACATTCATGAATACGAAATTTCAGAGCAATCGGATAATTGCTTCTTGGTGCGTCGATTTTTTAACAAGTTCAATAAGGCATACGAAATTTCAAAGCAATCGGATGATTGCTTCTTGGTGCGTCGATTTTTTTGTTATAGAGTATATATATATTTTTGCGCACTGTATATTTAAAGTTTTTAGTGTGTTATATATTTTCAAATATGCATATTTTGGGCATTTTAATGCTTTTTGCTATGTCTGGGACATTTTTTGGAGAAACTCGGATACTTTTGGAAATTTTGACGATTTTAAACAGTATAGCTTGTTTATTCCAAAATCTACATCCTGGTATTATTGTCTCTGATATTGAATAAGGATTTTAATATAATGCATATTTTACAGCTGTTTCATCGTCTTCTTGAGGAGAATCCAAGTGCTGCAGAAAAAGTGATTGCTGTTCATGGTGATATCACCCAGCCTAATTTAGGAATGAGTGATGAAGATCTTACCAAAGTTACTGAAGAAGTTACGATTGTCTTTCATATTGCAGCAGTTGTAAGTTTCACAAAACCTCTAAGGTAAAAATACAGAATTTTAAGTTTTTGTTTCCAATTAATAAAATATTTTTGTTTTAAATACAATAGACTAACAATAAACCATATTATTCGATACATTATTTGTCTCAGATGAAACTTGCATTTATAAATTTGCGTACAATTCCTGTTCATTATTGTTGATAGAAATACTAGAAAATCCTTAAATTTATATAACATATTAAGCATAATAGAGTAGTTAAATTCATTCTCTCTTTATATATATATATA